AAAAAATTCGATTTTATTTATGTTTCTTTTTTAAGACAATCATTCGGGTACGAATGGGCGCGCAGTTGACCCTTAAATTCTAGGATCGGGTAATTAAATTAAAGTAATTAATGAAAGTGAGTTTTTAATTAACTTTCCTAATTTATGAATAGTAGCAGTAGCAATTAATTCAGTAACAGATTTTTATTTCTTGTATATAATTCTTTCCGTTCAACTTCTGTTTTCTTAGTTTCAATTGATATATTTAAATTTAATTATTTATTTTTCTTAATTTTAAAATTTCATTTAACATATATATTTTTATTTCATTTTCATTTTTAATAAAAAATACAAATATTATAATAAACACACTCATTTTAAATTTTAATTGATTAAAAATAAATATAAAATTTTATCAATTAATTATTTTTGTGAAAAAAAATCAAGATATCTTAATATTTTTAATGTTAAAACATCTAATAATAACTTTATGATAATTTAATAAACATAAGGTCTAACCTTACATATTATATAATTATTATTAAATGTCTTAACACTTGTAATGTCAAGATATCTTAATTAATTAATTAATTAATTAATTAATTTTATTAAAAATAAATAAATCTACTAACATTCAAGAATTAATGGGTGATTAATTTTCGAGGGATGGGTGTGGGCCTTTAAAAACCACCTCCCATCTCACACACCATCCTTGTGCTCTCTCTCTCTCTAGTCTTTGGCTAGCTAACCTTCAATATAATATCTAGTCAATCGATCATCCAAGTCCAACATTTATATTGATCGATTTGGGCGCCATGGCTAGAAGAGAAGCACCGTGGACAACGCTGTTTTCCGCCGTCTGCATCGCGGCGTTGTTGGCAGCCCCCGGTGTGGAAGCATACCTTTGCTTTGAGTCAATAAAGGCTCTGCCACGGTGTTTTGTGGACTCTTGGAAGAACGTTTTCCACAAATTCAAGTGGAACAGCTTAAGTAGTTGGACAGGATTACTTGGGGGCGCCTATATTGACAAGTCGTGTTGCGTGGCTAATCTCTCTCAAGCCAACGATGATTGCATTTTCTCTTTATTTATGTTTGACTGGCAGATAAAGGCTTATCAAAAGGCACTTAAAACTTGTAAGGAGAGTGTAGGATATCATTGAAATCTTTATTTATTAAAGATACCTACAGTAATAATAAATTAAAATACAATAATATTAACAATAAAAAA